TAGGGTAATGTCCTGTCTTGATCAATGATAATACTAATGTATATTTGTCGTTTATTTGGGGTGTAACATGATTAAAGACTTATTTGAGTTGTGGATGATATAATGTGCCTTAGTTTGCTATGAGTAATTTAAAATTAGCGGCACAAGGTGGAAAATGTTTGCACAAGTCGACATAATTGAGTATTAATGACTAGTCAGGGCTGGTCATATTTTTTATATTCATTTTACTGGATATATGTATTTTCGAATTGTTCATATTAAAGTATAAATCAGTACCAGTGGAACAAAAATGTGCATCGAGAGATATTCAAACCGCCTTACAATTTTAGCAACAGATTTTATAGAAACATTGAAAAAATTAAAAAAAAATAGCAACCAAACAGTGACAAGAGGGACATTCACATAGGTGAAGTATGCATAAAATGTACCTACTTGGGATCTGACTACAAAACTTTGTGATAAAAGTTTATGTGAAGTGTACGAAATCTCAGATGATTAAAATAAAACGTATATGAGCTCAATACATAAAAATGAAGACAAAAAATTGTGTAAGCTTCCCTGGTATCACTGCTACTAGTTATATAGCGAATTAGGATTATTCCCATTACGGGAAACCTAACCGAGATACAAAGATAGAGATTAGCGTTAAATAATAATTGCGCAAATTAGGCACTTATAGATAGGTTAGACAATGGAACTTATGTCTTAATATTAGTGGCGATACATTTTCAATTTTTTCTCGTTCAACCGTAGTTTTATAAATCTTTGGACTTCGAAGTTTTGGCAAATATATTATGATGCCTCTTCTCATTTCCAACCGGATAAGAATATTTCATCCGGGAAATGCAGACGACGCTAAAGACATTTAAGTATTTGATGGTACATTTATGGCAAGGTGCACCGCAATATACATAAAGCAGCAAGCAAGTTTTGGCGAACGTTCATATATAAATTCCAGAATTACGGTTTTCGTAATGATATAATCCAGTTTTATCTCGTAGGTCTAGTTCAAAGTTGAAAAACTGAAATTCTGGTGGAAATGCAGCATTTCCGCAGTTAGTTTACGATCAGATTCGCGAGATATGCCAAAATATGTAATTAGCGGGAGAAAATAAAGTTGATAAATTCTTATACGAGGTGGATTTATTCACCAAAAATCATGTCAAACGGCGAATTCTACCGAAAATCAACAAAAATTTGTAAATGTTGGAAATAAAAATACACGACATATTTGTGTGTATACATAAAGCAACTTTGATTTGGAATATGTACGAAAAATTTAAAAAATTCCATTTTAAATACAAACTTTCCCGCTTACAACAACGAATATGGCATCTTTATCCCAATGGAAGCCGGAAAACCGAAAAAAAAGCATCGTTTTCAAGTAGCTGGGGATAAACGCTATCAACATCCGTCATATAACTGTCAAAGTGAAAATTTTAATTTAAAAGTTCTCCGATAAAAATTATAGTTTTTAATAATTTTAAACAGTATCAATTTAAAATTTAAGTGCAAAAACATAATAAACGAGCCGGACTTTTAGTTTTGACCGTATAGTTAAACAATCTAAGTGTTTTGCGGTTCCCCCAATGGGGGACACTAGTGCAAGGACGTCTTGGTTGACGCAAATGTTAGTAGATAATAGTGAGGACCATTTGAACAAAACTGATAATCAAAGCATGAGCATAAAAAGTGTCAACAGTGTAGGAGCTATCATGGAATCGGAAAAGAAAACCTTCAATTTACGCTCAGATAAATATAATATTAAAAATATTTAGGTCTATATTGAAAAATCAAAAGAAATGCCAAAAAAGTATTTTTGAAGTGTGTATATTTTTTAATAATTCCTAGCTGAGCGCTTTCGGCTTTACAAAGCCATCATCGGAGCTATGCTACAATAAAATGTTTTTATAAGTAACTAATTGGTGAAGATTTTAATTTTATACTTACGTCAATTTATAAATACCGCTACAATGGAGAGATCTCATTTCCTTATTTGTTGAAATTTTGATTTTTTTTAAATTACTTAGTTGTTAAAAATTCTTAAAAAACATACAAAAAACCGACACTGGACTTCACAGACACATTAAGTCCTTTAATTTCTACTTAAACAGGAAAATATATATTAGGAAGGAAAACAATCAACTCGTTGGACCACGTTTTAATAGTTCCGGTCTTCCACAGGGCTCAGTTTTAAGTCAACTTCTATTTAATCTTTACATAGTCGATTTTCATAATATAAGTATCGAAAAATTTCATTTAATACAATACAATATGCAGATGACTTCTGTATCTATACTGAATCTAAAAAATACAATAACGGCTTAAACACATTGGAAAGTGTTCATGAACATTGCTTTAGGTGGTTTAAAAAAATAGTTTTGAGTTGGCAAACAACAAGTCTAATATTTGTATATTCACTAGACACAACTTGCCTCAAGGAGAACAAATTAAATTAAATAATAATTATTTTCCCCTCTGTAAGTCGATAAAATATTTCAGTATTTGAATACAAAACTGACCTGGAAACTGCATATTGATTTTATGCTTGATAGATGTAATAAAGCACTAAACTTTCTCAAATCAATTTCAAAAACTTGGAGGGGTGCAGATGTTGAAACGTGTCTTCTATTTTATCGTTCTTATATCAGGTCCATTATAGATTATGGCTCTGAACTTTACGGATCCGCTAGTAACAATATTTTAGGTCGTATAGATGTTTTTATAAACACAGTTTTGCGGTGTTGCATTGGTGCTATGAGATCTACCCCTATTGAACCACGTTGAGACAATGGAACCGCCCAGTAAATTTAGAAGAGAATATCTCAGTCAAAAATTTCTGCTTAAAGTTCGTTGCTACAACACTTGTCTATATAAAGATATAAGTATTTTAAATTATTTTAAATTATTAAATTTTAAATTATTTCGACTTAACAAATAAATATTGGACTCGCAAGAATTCTGTACCGTTATGCGAAGCATTTCGAAGTACTCCAAATTAAGATACTGAACTTATAGTTGTAAACAAAGTGGTACATTTTAAAGATTTCTTTGAGTTACTGGATCAAGTACATATAATACAACCTATTTATTATGAGAACCCTGTAATAAGACGTATTGTTTTAAACAACTATCTGACAAATTGACCAAAATCTGTTTGTATTTATACAGACGCATCTAAAAGTTCAAAGGGTACTGGTTGTGCCTTTTATATTCCAGATAAATTTATAGAAACAATGTTTAAGCTGCCCACAAATTTCTCTATTTCTAGTGCCGAGGCTGCGGCCATACATGAGGCTTTAAATTATTTTAAATTGGCATCGTATAGTTCAGCAGTAATTTTATTTGATTCAATATCTTTACTTACAGCTATTCAAAAACCGCAACTACCCTGTAGTACTTCTAATGCGTACATTTTTTCAATTAAAAAATGCTTATTTGAAATTAATAGATACACCCAAAAAATACAATTGATGTGGATCAAAGCACATTTCATCATTTATGGAACACTAACCAACTATCAACCTTGCATTATAGATGCTTTTGCTTGTTTAAGAACTAAACAAATGAACAACTGGAGAGAACACTGGAAAAGTACTGTAGTATTTCAACAACACAATACAGTTTGATACAACCAATTATTCCAAAAAAACCTTGGTATAAGAATTTCGTCCTCCCTTTCAAATACGTAACTACCAGCAGTAGACTTAGATTTGGCCATGCATGTTATCCTACACATTTATTTAAAATACATATATTAGATTCGGATATTTGTCAAGAATGTCAGATTCAAAGTGACTTAAACCACATATTTTTTGAATGTCAAAAGTATAAACAACCCACCAATAATCTAATTAAAAGATTGATAGACAAGAACATCCCAGTTCCTGTTAATATTCTCTTTCTATTATCACTCAATGAAAAGAAAATGTTTGACTGCTTGATAACCTTTTTGTCTGATAGTAAAGTATGCCTGTAATTAGTTAGATTTGTAACCTATGTTTAGAAAAAAGTCATGGAAAAAATAATTAAAAAAAATATAAATATAAAAATAATTATAAAAAAAAGATTAAAAAAAGGAATATAAAAAGATACTTAAAAAATAGATTTAAAAAGAAAAAAAAAATTAAAAAAAAAAGAAAAAGAGGATTATAAAAATATATTAGAAAAAATTAAAAAAAAAGAACAAAAAAAAAGGAAAAAAAAAATAAAAATATTGTAAAACAATCGCTAAGAGGATCTAAACCTCCGAGGTGTTGAATCAGGTTTAAGTCCTAACGTAGTGAAAAAAAAAAAATATTACCATAGTTATATTTAGTAGATATTTTTATTTGTAAGATGTATACACTATGCATTTCACATGACTTCTTTCAATAACTAAATTATAACAAATGTGTGATATAGTATTTATTAACATAGTATGTACATTAGCTTAGTAAGGAATATTTATATTATTATATTAATCATGTTTCACTAATTGACATATTTAAATTCTTTAAATAAACTTATGTTGATTGAGACTGGCTGAAGCTGAATGACAATTGTCCAAGCAAAACAAAAAAAAAAACGCTATCAAATTCAAATGCATTTAGCAACTGAAGCAATTTGTCTTGCAGTACGCTGATTTTATTTCGAGCTAAAATGCCTCTTTCCCTCTGGGATTCACTATATCTAAACAAACGCAAAATTTTCAGAAATTTTTCAATTTACTACATCTTTCGGGGTTTTATCAAGATAATAAATTTTTTTAAACTCAAAATCAGAAAATTTTTTACACATAAACACATTTTATAATATTAATTTCACACATTTTTTTTTCGTCTCTTTAGTCAAAAATCTTTTTACAGCAGAAATTCAGATTCTTCAGGAAATTTTACATAAATCACATTTTTCTTAATATAGGAATATAATATAGGAAAATGTGATTTATTATTTTTAATTATTTTCTAAATTGATTTGTTATTTTAAAAAAGTTTTAAAATAAATATAGACTTTCTCACCTTGATAATCCTCGGGCACGTACATAAGTTGTTCCACGATCCTATCCCCATCGGCCTGATCTGGGAATAATCTAGGAGGTCCTCTGTAGTTCCCCGGAAACTCGGTCCCGCCCTTCATGAACCAAGGCTTGCCTTGGTTCTCCTTTGCAGTTGGTTCTTCAACCTCACCAACCTCATTGGATATTTCGAGTCGACCTGAAGAAGGCGGATCGTCGCCTAAAATAAAATGTAATAGTAGAAGTAAAAAAACTAGTTTTGTTTGAAAAAAAATATGTTGTTTGAAATTTCTCAATAGCATTTAGTCTTTTATGTCCGAACAATTGTTTCACCAATATCTCTATGAACATATTATATAGGAGTAGTATTACCGTTATTTGTAATTATTATGTTTTACTGGATTATTAACATAGTTTATAATTTTTATTGATATATAATTCTAGTTTAACATTGATATTTTTATAGAATATTATTTTATGTTTTTCTCTGTATTTATGTTGTGATGGATTATGAAGCTGTATCTTTTAGCTAGACGGGATATAAAAAATTCACAGAAATCTTAGTGCTTTTGTAACTCAGTAACTGTACATGAAAGTTTTTTGCTGTTTTAAGCAGCACAAGTATTAAATTTATAAATATTGTGTCCAAAGAAAGTTCTCCATAAGGGAGCGTGAGAGTCAAATCTAAAACAGGCTGATTAAATATACCCAGGTAATTTATATATAATTTGAAAAATAGAAATAATGGTAATTTTCAGAATTTAAGTACCTGACAAAAAAAAGTAGAGTGTAGTAAAATAATGTTTTTCAATCTCGTTTTCAGATTGAAATACCTACGTACACAGGTATAGGAATTCTTTAAATACAAAATAGAAATCTTTTTTACACAGAATTTTGAAAGCAAGGAGAAAGCTTTTAGTAAAAGATGAGGATAGATAATAATCTTGTTGTTTAGTTATACTGTTATATCAAGGTGTTGCCAATAGCTCAATTCCGGCTTTACGATTGGTCAAATTACAACCATAATTGCAACCAATGGTATTGCCGGAGATTGGATTTCGATTCCATCTTTACGATTGGTCGAATTGCAACCTAATTGCAGCCAATGGTATTGTCCGAAATTGAGCATTGGCTGTCGTGCAAGCTCCAATAGCAGAGCGCCATGGTGCACGATGACCATACATTCGTTCTGGTCTGGATAGGGTCCGCAGAATAAGCCTTCTTGGCATTAGAAACTGGTTGGTTTATTTAGTTCCTAGAAACTCTGCTTTTTATTGCTCCTAACCGCTATCCGTTTATTTAGAGACTTAGTCTAATTTATATTTAAATTGTATTTATTTCAGCTTTATCGACTTTGAAATATTTTGCTATGTTATTTTCTCTTTAGGGACTTTGAAATATTTTCGGTTGTAAAATAACTTGGGATATTCTCCTAATATTTATTCTCGTTCAGGGACTTTGAAATATTTCTTATATTTTATTTCTCTATTGCTATTTCTCTATTTCTCTCTTTGCATTATTTTCTGACCGAAAATAACTTGTAATAATTTTGCTAATATTTTATTTTCTCTTTAGGGACTTTGAAATATCTTCAGACCAAAAATAACTTCTACTTTCAATATATACTATAATATAAATAATATTAGTATAATATAATTTTATTTACCTTTTTGGGCTTTGAAATATTTTCGATATAAAAATAACTTATTTATATATACGATATTTTTTCTACATTTTTAGGTCTAATCGACAGTCGAAAATTTTCAATAACTTGCTTTGTGTCGATATTTTTGTTACATGTGTTTGTTGATTCGTCCCGAAGTAATCACGACGAACACTTCTATCACATTTTGGACGAAATCGACTTAGTAGGAATTTCATCTATTTTCGAAATTTTTGGGACTTTTTTTTTCACTTTTTTTTATTTTTACTTTTTTTGCTTAATTAGTCTTAGGTGTGATATCTAATACTTTATCTTACATATTCTTAGTTCTAAGACTAATTAACACTTTTGTGTTGTGGGCTTATACGGCTTATATGTCCATGGACCGTAACCCTTACCTGCTCCGGTCCATTTCAGCTATGGATAGTGCGACTGAACCACCTTCCCTTATTTCCGAGGGTTCAGGCCAGCGACAAAGGCTTGTAAACAAAAAGAAAGAATTTATTAGATATTATTATATAGAAATTAACAGATCCTCTGCATATCTCTTCCGAGCGGCCCTCAATAAAATTAGTATAGCCAACCCACGATAATCGAGCAGGACAAAGGAAGAAGAAGTTAGTTCTTTCAATTCAGCTAACATCACACTATTATCTGCAAACCTTTTATTATTAATAATGAATTATATATACTGTCTGGAGGACCCAGAAGGGATGTTCTGATTATATGTTCAGCATATCTTTTAAATAGAAGAGGAGACGAAATTCGAACTACAATATTTATATAATTGGTATTACCGATAGTTGCTTTAACACATCCTGTTCCTCATCCTCATCCCGTCTTTATTTTTTGCCTCACATCGCTTTATATGCTGTTTACCATCATCATCATCATCATCTTGGTGCTACAGCCCTTAGAGGGCCTCGACCTTCTCAAGCTTTCTACCCCATTCTGTTTTGTCACTTGCTTGCATTTTCCAGTTGCCGACTCCGATCTTCTCGGCATCTTGTGTTACCCCGTCCATCCACCTCAGGTTTGGTCTACCCCGTCTTCTCATTCCCACGGGTTGCGCTATTAGAATATTTTTTATCATGTTCGATTCAGGGGCCCGGGCTACATGTCCTGGTTTCGCTTAAGTATAGTGGTAATATCTTTAGCACCAAACGTATGCTTGTAGATATTCTATAATTCAAAATTATATCTACGCCTCCATAATCCGTTCTCACAGGCCGCTCCGAATATCTTGCGTAGCACCTTTTTTTCAAAAATCGATAGAGTGGATTCATCTGTTTTAGTTAGCTCCCACGCCTCTGATCCTTATGTGCGAACGGGGACTATCAGTGTTCTATATAGCCTTATACAGGTTTTTTGAGACAGACCTTTGTTAGCTAAGTACTTTGATAACACCTGTTTGCAATTATTATTCGCCTTTTTATTTCCTCATATGTGTTATTATTGGAGTTGACCGATGTCCCTAGATATATGAACTCTTTGACTGCTTCGGAGTTTTGGTCATTGATGATTAAATCTGCGTCAACATTTCTAACTCTTGTGTTTGTGTTAGTCGCCATGAATTTGGTTTTATTTTGATTTATATGTAAGCCCATTCGTTTTGCTGTTGCTACTAGCTCGGTTAGGATTTCCGCAGTTCTCACCCTGGTTCTCGCAGTTCTTGTTATATTGTCCACGTCGTCTGCATATGCTAGAATTTGGACTGATCTATTAAATATTGTTCCCCTGCTATCTAAATTAGCGTCTGGTAAAACTTCTTCTAAGGTGACATTGAAAAGCTGACACGACAGCGCATCTCCCTGTCTTAACCCCCTATGTATTTCAAATGGGGTTGACGAGTCGTTTTGAATTTTTACTGCTGATAGCATCTTCGCCATTGTCACTTTTATCAAACATATGAGTTATTTTGGAATTACTAGCTCATTCATACCGTTGTAAAGACTTGGTCTTAAAACACTGTCATGTGCCGCTTTAAAATCGACAAAAATATTATACATATCTATGTTAAACTCTTGCGCTTTTTCGAAGATCTGTCGTAGTGTAAAGATCTGGTTAATGGTTGAACGTCCACGCCTGAATCCTGCCTAATAGTCTCCTAGAAACGTTTAGGTATAAGGCTTGAATCTCTCGTGCAAAATGTTTGACAATATCTGTTATTTAGGAGAGTTAGTCCGCGGTAATTATTGTATTTTAGTTGGTTTCCCTTTTTGTGTGACGGGCAAATTAAGAATAAGCTCCATTCTTCAGGCATTTGATCCGCAGACCAAATTTTACAAACAATTTCTCGCATTACCTTGGTCAGCTGCTCTCCACCGTGCTTAAATAACTCTGCTGGGATGCCATCGCTGCCTGGGAATTTGTGGATCCTTAGTTTTTCTATAAATATTTTCACTTCATCTACCGAGGTGGATTCCACGAGTTTCTCATTTCGGTATTCCAGCTTTATATTCTTAGTAGGTTCCCCTTCCAGCAACTCTCGAAAGTCTCTACCCATGGAAACAGGATATCCTCTTTGTTGGTAAGTTACCTTCCTTATCATTACAATAGTTTGTTCTCGATTTAAATTCTTTTCTAATAATATTTATTTGAAGATAGAACTTTCTTGTTTCTCTGTGACTCATATGACTTTCGAGCCGTTCTATGTCATTTTCCGAGTCTTGTTTCTGTTTTCGGTGTATGCGTTTTTCCTCTTTCGTTAAGTTTTTGTATCTATCTATTGTTATTGTTCTGAAGCTATTTTCTTGTGGCATTTTAAATTAACTACTATTTAACTGGGAATAAGCCACAATTAAAGGTTAAAGTACGTTTATTGATGTTTAATTGTGGCTTATTCCCAGTTAAATAGTAATTAATTTATCTATTGTTGTCCTAGTGTTCCGTTATTGCATGTTCCCAAATGCCTCGTTCGTCTCAGTTGTTATTTTTTTGCAGTCTTGATCAAACCAGTCGTTTCTTTTTTGGGTTCGGGATATTTCCAATGTGCTTTCGGCTGCTAATTTCAGAGCCTCCTTGAAGTTGTTCCACATTTCCGTGCTTGACTGGTCGACTGCCCAGATGTGTTCTAGGGTTTCTTTTATATGTGACTGGAACTGTTTCTCTTTGTTTTCATTTTTTCAGCATATGTAAATTATATTTTACTTGTCTAGTGCCCCTTTCTTTCTTGGCATTGGAAATTTTTTGTCGTAACTTGGCCCCTGTCATGAAATGGTCTAAGTCAATATTTGCGCCTCTGTAACTTCTGACATCCATTAGGTTTGTAAAGTGCCTTCTGCCAATTATAACATGGTCAATTTGATTTGTGGTGTGTCCATTTGGTGATATTCAAGTTACTTTATGGATATTCTTATGATTAAAACATGTACTTCCCACAATTAAATCTTTGGAAGCTGCCATATTAATAAGCCTTAAACCATTGTCATTAGTAACGTCGTGAAGGCTGTGTTTACTAATATAATCTTGGTAGATCTCTTTTTCTATCTGGGCGTTTATGTCTCCAATGATTATTTTAATATCGTTTTTGGCACAGTTTCAAGGTCTTCGTAGAATAGATCTTTAATTTCTTCGTCTTTTTCCTCGGTTGGCGCGTGCATGTTGATCAGGCATATATTGAAAAATTTTCCTTTAATTCGAAGGATGCATAACCGATGATTTATGGCTTTAAAACTTCTTCTTCTTTATGTGCCGTCTTCTACCGAAGGTTGGCGACCATCATACGATAGGTTTCTCTGTTTTGTGCCGCATGAATTATGTTCGCAGCTTCTGGTATTTGAAACCATTCTCTCAAGTTTCTCAGCCAGGATTTCTTCTTTCTGCCCAAACCTCTTCTACCTTCAATCTTGCCTTCCACGATAAGCTGTAGCAGACTGTACTTATCATTACGGAACACATGGCCCAGGTATGACGCTTTCCTCCTTTTAACAGTTGTTAACAATTCCACCTCTTTACCCATTCGTCTTAATACCTCTGTGTTGGTCACTCTGTCTGTCCAAGGTATTCTCAGTATGCGTCGATACAGCCACATTTCTAGAGCCGCTAACTTCTTTATAATTGCTGCGGTTAACGTCCACCCCTCTACGCCGTAAAGTAGCGTAGAGAGTACGTAGCATTTCGTGGCGCGCCATCGGAGATTAATGCTTAGGTTGCGGTTGCTTAAAAGCTTTCTCATTTTGATGAATTTGGATCTTGCTATTTCAATTCGGATCTTAATCTCTACTTCTGGGTCCCACTTGTCATTTACTGTATATCCCAGATATTTAAATCGGTGTACTCTTTCAATACGTTCGTCTTCAATATGCAGGTCGATATGTTGAAATTTTTTTTTTACTGATCACCATAAATTTAGTTTTCTTTCTATTGATCTTCAGTCCAAATCGGCTGCCAGTTGTATTAACTCTATGTAGCATCATCTGTAAATCTTCGATGTTATCGGCCAGTATAATAGTATCATCTGCATATCGAAAATTACTTATTGGTACGCCATTAATCTTGATGCCCTCATTGTACTCTTCTAGTGCCTCTAGAAATATTTGTTCCGTGTACAGGTTGAAAAGCAGTGGCGAAAGAATACAGCCCTGTCTTACCCCTCTAGAAATGGTTATGTTTTCACTCACCATATGTCCATTCTTCATGTGGGCTGTTTGATTCCAATATAAATTTTTTATAATCTGGATGTCCTTAGTGTCAAGTCCTGAAAGACGTAATAGTTCTATGAGTTTGTCATGTTTGATAGTATCGAATGCTTTCTCATAGTCGATTATTTTTTTTTATTATTTATAGTTTTATAGTTTATAGTATAGTTTAAAACTATAAATAATAAATAAACCAATATATACTGTTTACCTTCCTTTTATTTTGTCGTTTCAAGAAATAACAGAGTACCCTGATTTACAACTATGATACTCTTGTGGCCCTAAAACCACGTATGATAATAAAACATTGAACAAGTCGTTAATATAATTTACGAAAACCTTGTATCAGATTTAATTTAATACTTCGACTCACCGATATCGTTAATTTCCGGATCATCTTGATTTTCTTGTAGAGAAGGGCCACTACCGATCCGGATCCATGAAAACCGATGATGTACTGAGATTAGTACTGAAAAACTGAAAAGAACTAGGATGATGAGGAAAATCCTGCGCGCCGATAGTCGCGGGGGCATTTTCAGGGATAATCCATTACCTGAAAACAATAAAATTATAGTTAATTTTTATTACTATAAATAATTACTTAGTGTGAAATATTATATAGTAAAAATGTGTTAATATATGAAAATTCTTAACAAAATGTAAGATGATTTAAAAGTGCAGCAAACGTGATTTCTGACCGATGAAGCAATCGAAAGCTCTGTTTCCATTAAGTGGTAAATCTGCATGATAATGTTAGTGGCGACTGTCATTATTTCCTCAGTAACATTTTACTTAACCAATGCCGCTAACATTCTTTTAAATTCTGACCGACACAACGCGGCGTCACGATAAATTGCTGCATGCCAAAATGTGTAGAGTGTGAAAGTCTAAAAAGAAAAAGAAGAAATGTTTAACCGTGTACTGATTACTATACTAAAAATTACCACTACCTAGTTATGTGAGAAATGATCAATCAGAAGTAACAAAATACAAGACCACGGAATTAGAACGTTTGAGATATGAAGAAACAAAATATGAAGAAACTAAAGAACTAAATATGTAAAGGAATTAAAAAATATTGTAACAACGATCACACTTACAGTAAACAGAAACTGTACCGTAATCAGTGGATAAACTCAAATAAAACTATAACCATATTATCTAAAATCAAGAATAGGATCCAACATCAGACACAGAGAATAATCAAATCACACAAAGAACATCATAAGATAATTATAAATATCGGATAGTAGAAGTGCAAAAATTAAAAATAAGGAGAAATAAGAGAGTTGTGTGACAAACACCAAAAGAAGGTGAAAGAGTAAATGAACTTAACAATTACGGAAGGGAGGTAAATACTACATTTAATAGTAAGTAAGTATACAGATAGTGGAACAAGTTTGAATACATTTATGGATCCATTTTGAGATTTCCAAACTGGATTCATAGCAGAAAAGTCTAGAACATATATAATACATGATATGGAACAAACATACCAGAAACAAATAACTGGAAATATCCTTTATTTAGTTTAAAATGCAAAGTTTATGAATTTGAAATAAAGAAGAAGAAACCTTGCTGAGATATTAGCTAATATTTCAATTCCGTTGGGCACATACAGCTCTCTCATTGATAAAAGTGTTCCTATGTTTAGTAATTTCGTATGATTTGATTATCAACTCATCAAGAAATCTTAAACCAACCATATTTAACCTAGATTTATAATCATTTGTATTTCTGTTTATCTTATCTATTTTTTTACGATTTCATTATCTAATAATTGTTACCTAACAACTAATATCCCTACCAATACATACAACACCACGCTTTACCTAAATATTCATTATATTTGTTTAAAAAACATCATACATTCACATACAAATATTTAATTTCGAAATTGTTAACCTTTAACAAAAAGTGTGTGGAAATATTAAGGATATGACGAATTAAACAACCTGGGAGTTGTGTTAAATAACAAATAAAACGCAATTGTTGAATATGGAAAATAACCTTTTGTGTTTGCCGGATTTTATTTTACTAAAGAGTAATTTTAAAATATCACTAAAAACATAGCTTTGGTAATGAGTTATTTTATTCCCAAAAATATCTAATAAAAGAAAACAAATAAAGGCTAATTATTATCTCAATATTATACAGGATGAAAATTTGAAAACCTACCCACCGTCAATATTTTCATTCCCGTAAATTATATGAAAAATCGGATGGGAGGCAATTTTGTTTTTAAGGGAGGGACTTTTTGTAAATACTTTTAGCCCTTAAAGTTCAACTTCCTAGAAGGGGTGCATGTTACTAGTAGAATTTTAAATAAGAAGAGGGTTCATAGGTCCATAATTTTAACGAACGTTTAATTTTCTCTTTTTCAATGGTAGCCTAATATAATATTTTTACTCAAAAATAGCGTGCGAAATTAAAATTATTTTATTGGGGCTTCTCCCAGTAAAAATGGTTAGACGATTAGTTGGCACCGTTCCAACTCTTGAACAACAGACAAAAAATGTAACCTACACGTTCCTCTGATTTTGGTTACTTTACTTTTTTCACAAATATTACCAAAAAACGATCAAACATAAAACACGTATTTACGCACTATGTGAATAATTGTCCAAAATACTGTCCATTGTGCTCTAACAATAACCTGTTTCCGAACTCCTTAAAATTTTGGAAAACTTCAGATGTAATTAAAAGGTATTCTCATTTGTCTTTTAATTTCATCAATATCTTCGGTTTATCTTTTATAAACAACAGGTTTAAGATATCTCCCATAAGACGTCCAATGGATTTAATAGTGTTGATTTCGGAGGCCATATTATGGTTCTATTGCTAAATTATGGAGCGATATTGCTAAATATTTGAACCTACTAGACAGACATTTGTACAAGGACATTACTTTCACCTATTATCACCCACTTTATTACTAAATGGTGGAGGTGACATCACACAATTAAAGCGATATTGGGTATTGAAGAGTTCGACAGTTGCTGAAGGCTACATAGATTAAAATGTTAAAAAAATCGAAACAGCAGTAATTATTCTACCGGGTCCATCAAATGTAGGTACAATTGGACGACTATACCAGTCATAATAATCAAGAATTTACCATATTAGAATCTAGCTCTAATTTTCCTACGAAATCAGAAATTATAATTTAAAACTTTAAACCCCATGTGTATTAAATCAGATACACAAAAAATTTCACATGAACCCCTGCGTATATATGTATTATGTTATAAATCGTCAAGATAATAGTCCACTTTCATTTTATAAACTTCTACTGACGGTAGATATACTTGATCTTTTGGCAACCGAAACCAATAGTTATGCTGAACAACAAATCATTAATGGTATCATCAATGAATCAGTAACACGAAATTATTTTCTAACTAATTGGACTAATACAAATAAGGAAGAAGTTATAACATTCTTGGGCAGACTCATATGGATGGGCCTAAATCCAAAATCAAGACTAAGAGACTATTGGAGTACAAATTTTGTTCATAAATATTCTATTTATCAAAGTAGACGGATGTCAATAAATATATATGAGGCACTCTTGGCTTCTCTTCATTTTTCAAATAATGAACTATGTTTCAAAAATAACCGCCTTTTCAAATTAAGCATATTAGTAGATATGTGTAATAGAAATTTTCAAACCGTTTATACTCCAGGGGATGCATCGACGAATCAATGGTTTCATTTCGTGGAAGGTTATCATTTTATGTATATTATACCGGGCAAACGACACAAATACGAGATAAAAATATTTAAGTGGTGTCGACAAGGATATACTTTCAACATAAAAATCTACGTTGGAAAGCAAAGTAGACCAATTGATCAGCCTGTTTTCAGCCAAGTTGTAATGGAATTAATAGAACCTCTTCTTAAAAGAGGTAAAACATTAGTAACGGACAACTACTATACAAGCGTTGTTTTAGCCCATTTACTCAACGATAATAATATTCATTTTATAGGGACGCTACGACAACATAGAAAATATAATAAAAAAGTCTTCTTCTTCCTTCTAGTATCTAGGCTTTAAGGCCTGTTTTTTCTTCAATATTAGCCTCCTAAATTGTTTAAATTGTCGTACCATCTTTTTCTTGGTCTGCCAATAGTTCTTCGTCCATTTGGTGACTTATCTCGTGCTATTCGTACTATTCTATCCTCTTTCATTCTACTTTAATATTTAATACTATGTATGTTTTTTTTGACTTGCTACAAACAATATTTGTATATGTTATGTAGTTAAATAAATACTCTACTCTACTCTACTCTACTGATGTGTTCGTTCCACTCCTGTTTTCGTTTTGTCACCCATCCATTTATGTCTTCTATATTGCATGCTATTCTTATGTTTTCGCTTCTCTTCTTATCCAACAGACTTCTCCCTAATATTCGTCGGAGTGTTTTCATATCTGTTCTTTCTAGCAGTCGTCTCGTTTTAGATGTGTCAGGTCTTGTCTCCGCCGGCCGTGTATGTTAATATAGGTCTAATTGCTGCTTTATAAATTCTTGTTTTTGTGTATTGTCTTAGTTGTTTGTTCTTCCAGTTTCTGTCATTAAGAGAACCCGCCGCTTTACTTGCTTTTAAGCTTTGTTGTCGTACTTCTTTTTCAACATCTCCGTAACTAGTTATATATATTCCCAGATATCTAAACCTTGCTTCCTGCTTTATTATTTTCCCATCAATTTCGATTTTTAATAAAAAAAATAAATAATATATAATAAGTAAATAATAAAAAAGTGATCCTTAAAAAGAATAAAATATGGCAATATTTTAAATCAATATTATATAGTGTGAGATTTTCAGCCGCAACAACAAAAAAATATCTTGGGCTGGAGTGGATATATTTTTTAAATAAGCCCTGGGAGTCAAAGTGTTAAAAACTATACAACTGTACAATAGTTATGTTGCTTTATAAATCGAGAAATAATGTATCACTTTTTTCTCTTAATACCCACATAAGTATTAATAATAGATTCATATATTTTGTCTTTTGTTTCTATTTAGTCATTTCAAAATAAACTGTTTAAGCAACAAATAAAATTGTTCTGGCTTGTGCTATCCCTTTTTTAATCTCCCCGCAATCTCTTCTATGCGGGTAAAACATCATGCTCTAAAATTATATTCGCTGTATGGTGAAATTATTTGATTATCTTTAAAGTGCCAATTTTCCGGCTAAATAGGTCTTAAACCTGAGGCCAAAAAAAAGTTTCCAAGTTTTTATAGTTTGATAATTCCTGTGAGAAAATATATCTTTCGCTAAATCTCTTTGTGTCCAAGTAATACTTCTACCTAGTGTTCATAGATAATAAACAAACGTAGAACTGCATGAACGGTATTCCAAGTTACGTGAACGGAATATGACAATTTTTATAGCAGGGATCCGTACCTCTACAGAAAAATTAAAAAAAAAAATTGGCGAAATCATATATTTTGGTTGCATTAAATAGGTGTTAATTCTGATAAAAAAATGTCATTCATGCATCAAATACTAAATAGATCAGTATAGGCTGTAATACTGGTAATTTATT